GTGAGAAGGGGAGTGGGGATTTGCCGAGACGGAGGCGCGATTTGCGGGGGCCCAGGTTCAGAGCGATGGAGGCGCTTGTATCTGGCAGAGTGGCGTGGGCCAAGTTATATATATATATATATATATATACATTGAGGTAACACACGGGGTTCCCCAAAAGGCCTGAAGACAAAAACGCTATTTGAAGACGTTATTGGCCAGCGGCGGTCGAGCAGGTGAAGACGCTTATCGCTTTGAAGACACAATTGCGCAACCACGGGATGAAAACGCAAATGCACTTGAAGACGCCATTCCGTTTGAAGACGCAAATGTGCTTGAAGACGCTATTCCCGGCGAGGAGCCACATTCCCGGCGAATATGAGGGAATCTGAAAGGAGCGTTCTCCTCCTCCTCCTCCTCCTGGTCCACGCCGATTGCCGATCCAAATCTCCTCCTTCTCTGCCGCTTCATTATCCTCTTCCCATTATCCGTCTGCCACTTCTCTTCAGACTTTGCAGACTCGGGCCCGGCGGCATGAGTGACAACGGTGCTGATTGGGGAGCGGTGCCGGGGCTGCCCCGAGACCATCTGCCCCCAATACCAGTTGATGTTTGATTACACAGACCAGTTCCTTGCCAACGATAATGGCCGCATGAACACATACTACTGCTGGGGGGACAAGACGGGCTACGACATGGAGAAGGGGCAGCACGCGCGGTGCAAGACTGTGATCCGAACTGAATGGTGGGCGCAATTGCTCACGATCGAGCAGAACACGAGCAGGAAGGAGTCCGCCAAGATTGTTGCTCCCATTTTAAGACGAAATACACGCCCGGGAAGAGAACCATCCTCGTCAAATGGATCGACTTCTCGGCCGTCCCCAAATAAACCTGGCACTTCGAGACCGTCCACCCGGAGTACGACATCAAAAACCTCAAGACGCTGTGCAGGGAGACTGTCCTGACCGAAAGGTGGAAATGAGCAAGCTGCGTCCCATCGACGTCCTCAAGTACCTGCCGGCGCCGAGCAGTCGGCCGCCCCGCAAGTCCAACGGCGAACTAGCCGACCAGGTTCGGCATTGCAGGCTGCAGACGACTCACGCGCAGGACAAAGTCAAGATTTGGATCGAGGCCAAAGCGACAGGCATAGAGGACACAGTCGTAGCCGCTCTGGTGCAGCTCGGGGGGGTACACAAACACGGTGCGCCACCACGCTCCCGCAACGCCAGGCTGTTGCAGATTCACCTCGACGCGCAGTAGTGGCCAGGCTGCTGGAGGCTGCGAGGGGAGAAGGGCCTGCAGGCACGCACTGCTCACCTCCCGAGCCGCAGCTCGGAGGCAGAGGGTACCGACCTTGCAGGTCCGAGCTGACAGGGCCCGCAGGCACGCACTGCTCACTCTCCGAGCGGACTCGAGAGAGCAGAGAGTGCCGACCAAGCGGGTCCGAAGCAGCAGTGGAGCTTGCATCGCAGAGGCTATCGACTGGACGGTTGGCGACTTTGACCACGCCGTTGAGGGCCACCTTTTCTCGTTCACTAACCTTGACAGCACCACAGATGGCGGCTCCGACGGAGGGGAGATCAAGATCTCCGCGACCACAGAGAGCTACTCGACCTCTCACCTCGGCCACGTCTTCAGTGAGTTCGGCTACTCCTGGTCCGATGACTTCGATTAGGCCGAATAATCTCGCCGTCGCTGCCGCCTCCCCTGACCTCCAGACTCCTCCTCCTCCCACTCCCCCGATCCCTCTCATCAGAGTCTTGGGTCTGCTAGGTCTCAGAAAGCGAGAAGGCCCTCCCCCAGGGCCGTAATTTTTTAGCTTTGACGGTTCAGTGGCCCCTTGGGGCCGCTCGGGCCTGCCTGAGTCGTAGCTGGCCTTTTCCTGGAATTCGAGAGGCGAGGATCTGACTGATAATGCTGGGCCTCCCTGCTCTGCGTTTGCTGTTTGGTGACTCGATGTTTCGTCCCGATTTTCGTCCCACGTCCCCACGGCCGAGCCCTGCCTTTAAAGTTTGGGGGCCCTCCAGCCGAGGTGGGGTAAGGTGGGCGGGGGCAGAGTGCACCTAGTGCCACGCGTGACCAGTCTATATTGAGTCACCGCGCCCTCTAGAAGCGAGTCAGTTCGGAGCTTATATTCTTTTGGCTTCGGAGTTCCCCGCGTTACGGCAGGATCATCTGGCACCCTTCTGCAGAGTCGTTCGTTCGTTCGTTCTCCCCCCTCCTCCCTCCCCTCCCTGACTGTGCTCTCGAGCGTGCTCATTTCGGCACACCCCTCACACGCTTCGTGGCCCCATAGGGTGCTCCGCCGAAGGCCCCAGTGACAGGGTCCGCATGCAGTTCCACCTCCATGTCGGGGCACCCCTCATGCGCTCCACCGAAGGCCCCAGTGGCAGGGTCCGCGTGCAGTTCCGCCTCCATTCCGACGCACCCCTCACACGTTTCGTGGCCTCATAGGGTGCTCCACTGAAGGCCCCAGTGGCAGGGTCCGCATGCAGTTCTGGCTCCATTTCGGCGCACCCCTCATCCCTTCCGCGGCCCCATAGGCTGCTCCGCCGAAGGCCCCAGTGGCAGGGTCCGCGTGCAGTTCCGCCTGCACTTCGGCGCACCCCTTACACCTTTCATGGCCCCACAGGGTGCTACGCCGAAGGCCCCAGTGGCTGGGTCCGCATGCAGTTCCACCTCCACTTCGGCGCACCGTTCACACGTTTCGTGGCCCAATAGGGTGCTCCGCTGAAGGCCCCAGTGGCAGTGTCCGCATGCAGTTCCACCTCCATTCCGACGCACCCCTGACATGTTTCGTGGGCCCGTAGGGAGTTCCACAGAAGGTCCGAGTGGCAGGGTCCGCATGCAGTTCCACCTCCACTTCGGCGCACCCCTCGCACGTTTCGTGGCCCCATAGGGTGCTCCGCCGAAGGCCCCAGTGGCAGGGTCCGCATGCAGTTCCGCCGCCATGTCGGGGCAACCCTCATGCGTTTCGTGGCCCCATAGGCTGCTCCGCCGAAGGCCCCAGTGGCAGGGTCCGCACGCAGTTCCACCTCCATTTCGGCGCACCCCTCGCACGTCTCGTGGTCCCATGGGCTGCTCCGCCGAAGGCCCCAGTGGCAGGGTCCGCATGCAGTTCCACCTCCATTCCGACGCACCCCTCACACGTTCGGTGGCCCCATAAAGTGCTTCACCGAAAGCCCCAGTGGCAGGGTCCGCGTGCAGTTCCGCCTCCATTTCGGCGCACCCTTCATACGTTTCGTGGCCCCATAGGCTGCTCCGCCGAAAGCCCCAGTGTCAGGGTCCGCATGCAGTTCCACCTCCACTTCGGCGCACCCCTCGCACGTTTCGTGGCCCCATAGGGAGCTCCACTGAAGGCCCCAGTAGCAGGGTCCGCATGCAGTTCCGCCTCCATGTCGGCGCACCCCTCATACGTTTCGTGGCCCCATAGGCTGCTCCGCCGAAAGCCGCAGTGGCAGGGTCCGCATGCCGTTCCACCTCCATTTCGGCGCACCCCTCACACGTTTCGTGGGCGCATAGCGTGCTCTTAGAAGCTCCAGTGGCAGGGTCCGCGTGCAGTTCCACCCGCATTTCGGCGCACCCCTCACACGTTTCGCGGCCCCATAGCGGTGCTCCACTGAAGGCTCCAGTGGCGGGGTCCGCATGCAGTTCCATCCCCATTTCGATGCGCCCCTCATCCGTTCGGCGGCCTCAAGGGGTGCTCCGCCGAAGGCCCCAGTGGCAGGGTCCGCATGCAGTTCCACCTCCATTTCGGCGTACCCCTCGCACGTTTCGTGGCCCCATGGGCTGCTCCGCCGAAGGCCCCAGTGGCAGGGTCCGCACGCAGTTCCGCCTGCATTTCGGCGCACCCCTCACACGTTCGGTGGCCCCAAACAGTGCTCCACCGAAGGCCCCAGTGGCAGGGTCCGCGTGTGGTTGCACCCCCAATCCAGCGCATCCCTCACACGTTTCGTGGCCCCATAGGGAGCTCCACCGAAGGCCCCAGCGGCAGGGTCCGCATGCAGTTCCATTCGGCGCACCCCGTATTTTTCTCGTGGCCCCATAGGGAGCTCCACTTAAGGCCCTAGTGGCAGCGCCTGCACGCGGCATTGGGCGCACCTCTCGCACGTTCCGTGGCCTCACATGGGGCTCCACCGACGGCTCCGGTGGCAGCGTCCGCATGGAGTACCCGTGCCAATTTTGGCACACCAGTAACACGCGTCGTGGCCCCAGAGAGAGGTTCACCGAGGTCGATACCCACAACTGCGTTACTCACAACTGCACATGATTGGGTCCCTCGCCAGGATCAAGCTAAGGTGTGCCCGTCAGCGCGCTTCCCTTCCTTTCGATGCTCATTCAGCAGGGACGCGCGGTTGGGTTCACACGGTGGCGTTTCATTGATGTTGTTTGTGCCGCCCCCCCCAGCAGACTCGAAGAAGAGACATACGAACATGAGCGTAATTCCTCGCATGTGCACGACTACCGATCTGCGCTGGCTCCCCCAGAGGCGCCGCCCCTGGCGTGCCCCTTGCGCCAGGGAGGAGGGGGGGTCGGGCGCCGATGCCAGGCATCCGCGCAGAGGTCCGAGAAACGATGCGGATGCTGCTTGTCGTTCTTCTACGGGCGCCCTCCCTCGCTGGCAAGTTGCTCTCGCCCCCAAGCCACGGGTTCGCCTCGAACAGCCAGGCCTCTCTGCAACGATGGGAACCTCGGGGTTCCACCTTCCAGGGGCTTTTCGGACGGACGCACCCCTATACGTATCGAGGAATGGCGCCCCCCTGTCGTACATCATATCCTCCCCGAGTTTGGTCCCGTCCATTCGAAGACCCCACACGAGGTCGGGAACAGGGGTCGACACACCCCATATCACTCTCCTCCGCACGGCCCATCTCGATCCGATCGATCCGAATCGATGTCGGCTCCGGCCGTCCCGATTCGAATTCGAATGTCGGGCGATCCGACGCGGCTCCTTGCTCGCACGTCGCAGGTGTACATCTTGGCCCCGCCGATTCGATTCCGGTCCGACTCCGTGCCGAAGCTGCCTGATCCGCTGCGCATGTCGATTCGATCCGCTGTTCCGATTCGATGCTGACTGCTCCTGCCCCCACCTTTCGGAGGTTGATGGACCTCCTACAGTGACACGTCGATTAGTGAATTGGCCGTTTTCGGTTCGCGAGAGGGCGTCGCGGCCGTCATTTTTGCGGGTCCGGGTCCGTCGGTTTCGGTCCCAGGCCGTTCTCACTAAAGGGAGGTTTACGAAAGGGATGTTTGTCCACCGCCGACCCTTCTGCAGAGGCGCCTTCGGGGTCGTCCGGCTGTGCCAGTCGACACGGTCGGGGGAGCTCCTGGCGCTGAAGCAGGCGGGGGCCGCCGCTCCACCCGGCGCACGGGAGGAGCGGGGGAGAGGGAGATGAACGGGACGGGCGAGGCGAGGGTGTGGGAGGTGGTGGGGCGTCGGGGGAGGCGAGGAGGAGGAGGGAGGAGGGAGGAGGGAGGAGGTTTTGTTAGGTTGCGACGCTGATGAAACCGATGGCCTGTTAGCAGGAGGGAGGAGGGCGGAGGGAGGAGGAGAAGGCGAGGAGGAGGAGGAGGAGGACGAGGAGGAAGAGGAGAAAGAGGACGAGGGCGAGGACGAGGACGTGGACGAGGACGAGGGAGGAGGGTGGAGACGACGACGACGAGGGAGGATAATGGATAAGAGGAGCTCAGGGGATGGAGAGAAGGAAGCATGGGGTGGGGTAGTTGCCCATCCGAGGAGATGTTTTGTACCCCGTGGTGGTCTGCGGTCCACTTCTGACGGGGCCAGCCGACAGGTCGCCCCTACCTCATTCAAGTCGCCCAAGGGGCGCCGCGCCACGCTCGAGCCTGCGCCTCGGCCTCCAGGGCTTGCACACCGATGCGGTCGGCCTCGTCCCTGTCTGCGAGACCGGAAGCACAAAGGATGGCTGACAGGATTCGCCGGATTTCCCGGATCTCGCCTGAGACGGAACAGGGAGGCCTCTGGGTGGCCCCCCCGGGATGGCTCCGGGGGCGGTTTTTCTGAGGATGCCCCACGCGAGGGCGCCGGTTTGGAATTCGTCGTCGGAGTCGCCGGATTTCCCGGATCTGGTTTGAAAAGGCACAGGGAGGCCTTTGAGGGCTTCTTTGGGAAGGCTCCAGGAGCAGTTTTCTTGAGGATCTCAGGGCGCCAGTTTGGAATTCGTCGCGGGATTTGCCGGATTTCCCAGATCTCGCCTGAAACGGAGCAGGGGGCCTCCGAAGGCCTGGGCAGGCTCCGGGGGCGGTTTGTCTGAGGATGTCCCACGCGAGGGCGCCGGTTTGGAGAATTCGTCGCCGGACGTGCCGGATGTGCGCCCGATGTGCCGGAGTTCCCGGGTTTCGTCCGAACCGGAGCGGGGGGGGCGGTCGACGGGGCCATTGTTTCGCGCGCCGGGGGTCAGGATCACGTGGGTTCCACAGAAAGCAGGAGGGGAAAAAACACACAGACACAATTAATCGTCCACTCCCAGGAAAAAGATGGGAAACTATGGGAAGTGGGAAGACAGAAGCCCAGAAAATTCGCCGGCCCAACGGGCCAGGGCGTGCTAAGATCTCCGGTACCTGGTTAACAGTATTTCTAGTTCGCGCGCGCGGGGCGGCCCCTGGGGGTCCCCGGACGAAAAGTACCCCGGCAAGGTCCCGGCAAGTCCCCGGCAAGTCCCCGGCAAGGTCGGGTCAGAGATGCCGGAGTTCTGTTACAGGGCCCCAGGACGGGCCAAGAGGTCCCCAAGAAGCCTCCAAGACGGTCCAAGAGGGCCCCGAGACGGCCAAAGATCGCCCGAAGACGCCCAACAGGGCCCCAAGACAGCCCAAGAGGCCTCCAAGACGCCCCAAGGGCCTTCCAAGAGGCCTCCGAAGAGGGCCCCAAGAGGCCAAAATCGTTGATTTTCATTGTTTTTTTCTATGTTTTTTGCGTTCTGGCTGTTTCGGCTTCCGGACGCTCCCAGACGGCCCAAGAGGCCCCCAAGACCGCTCCAAGACGGCCCACGAGGCTCCCAAGACGGCCCCGGAACGGCCCAGGAGGGCCCCCAAGACGGCCCAAGTGCCGCCCAAGACGGACAAAGAGGCCCCAAGACGGGCCCAAGAGGGGCTCAAGAGGGGAACCGAGAACTGAAAAATCGAGCCCTCCGCCCCAGAAGGCGCCCAGGAGGCCCCCAAAAGGCCCCAAGAGGCCCCCAAGAGGCCCCCAAGACGCCCCACGAGGCGCCCAAGAGGCCGTCTCGGTTTCTGGACGTTCCCGGCGGCTTTTCTAATTCAGCCGCGTATCTTTGCATTACATCACGTGTTAAGTGTGTTTTCTTTATTGTGTCGCCCATTTCTTTTCAACGGTATATATATATATATATATATATATGTTTGTTTGTTTATTTAGTTAGTCTCATCCTTTTTGGCTCAATGTTTCGCTCATGTTCTGCCCCCGCCGTGAGCGGGGGATCGCTCTTTACCCAGACTAATCAGAAAGCACGCAGTGGTTCTAGCGAGCTACTCCCAGAGCGTCACTGCAACGCTGCTCTGGAAGCTACCCCCAAACGCCTCAGACTCAGGCGTAATCCTTGCAAGCCTTCCCGAACGCCACCAGGCGGTCCTCCTTCTTGGTCACGAACCAGTACTGGTACTCACGAACGTACTGCATCACATCAGATCGACGAACGTGTCGAGGTTTCGCCCATTGCTTGTAGTTGCCGAAGAAGCCGTCCATGTATTGCGTCCCTCCCCATACCTTCTTCCCGTCGATATTGAACATCTTCGTCCACTCTTCCTTCCCATGAACGACGGCGATCTGCTTCGCTCGATTGCCGAAGATCTTCCTCTTGTTGACAAGGGAATCGTACGTAGCAGCGGAGTCGCTGGAAAGAATGCCAGACTTGAAGTGCTTAGTCAAGAACTTCTTCCCCTCTGGGATGGACAGAGCTGGCGGGCCAGGTGGCACCAACCTCTTGCCGTCGAACTTGATTGTCCCCCCGCTCATCGTCTTCTGCGACCCCTTGATCCTGTACCTCTGCTTCCTGATGGGCAGCTGCTCGATCACGATGTTACGGGACCCGCGAACCAGCAAAGCTATGATGCGCGTGTACGAGAACGCGGGCGCTCCTTTCTTGGGGGGCGGGCCTGCGCTGCCACTCGCCACGGACGCTTCGTCGACCTCCACGACGATGCCCTTCCCGCCCTGCTTGCCGAACGACTTCTGGAGTTTCTCCATCTTCGCGACGATGCAGGCCCTGAACTTGCCGTACCAGCGGAAGACACACTTCTCGCCCACTCCGCACAGCTGCGACGCTGGAGTAGCCGCGATACCTTCGGAGAAGCACACGATCAGCCCAACGATCTGTCGCAGCGAAATGCCAGAGCCACATTCCCACATGGAACCTTTCCACGTTCGCCCTTACGTGATGTGGAGCATTCCGCCCCCTGGAGCATTTCGCCCCGCACCTGGCTGGAGCATTTCGCCCCTATGTTATCTGGAGCGTTACGCCCCGCCTTCTCTCCCGTCAACTGTAGTTTGGGGGCGGTGGTAACTTAAAATACTCCGTGCAATAGCTGCGCTTCATCTGTGCTTCACATTCACCACGGGCACACGACGCAAGTGGGACAAATGAGGAAGGGGGACAACGGAGGGGAAGGAAGATAACGAGGAAGAAGGGAGGAGGAGGAGGGATGACTGGAACAGGGCACGGTGTGAACTACATGGTCGCACCCCCCGAAGATCTACCTTTTGGCGGGTTCTGAGATGAACCTTCGAGTTGTCTGTCTCTCCTCGCCGCTTCCTCGCCCCTTCCTCGCCAGGATTGTCCTCGCCCCGCCCTCGCCTGCAAGCTCCCGCTAACCTGGCCAGGCTTTTTTTTTCTGGTCTGGGAGCTCACAGAACCTGGCCAGGCGTCGTTTTTTCTGATTTTTCTGGTCTGGGAGCCCACAAAACCTGGCCAGGCGTTGGTTTTTATTGTTTTTCTGGTCTGAGGGCTCAGAAAACTTGGCCAGGCGTTAGTTTTTTTTTTTTTTTTTTTTTTTTTTTTTTTTTTTTTTTTTTTTTTTTTTTTTTTTTTTTTTTTTTTTTTTTTTTTTTTTGGTTTTTCTGGTCTGACGGCAGTAGTTCGCAAGCCCCCAACCTCCAGGCCAGGTTTTGTGAGCTCCCAGATTAGAAAAACCAGAAAAAAAACCAACGCCTGGCCACGTTTTCTGAGCCCCCAGACAAGAAAAAACAGAAAAACCAACGCCTGGCCAGGTTTTCTGAGCTCCCAGACCACAAAAACCATACAAACCAACGCCTGGCCAGGTTTTCTGAGCTCCCAAACCAGAAAAACCCGACAAACCAACGCCTGGCCAGGTTTTCTGAGCTCCCAGACCAGAAAAACCAGAAAAACCAACGCCTGGCCAAGTTTTCTAAGCCCCCAGGAGGAGGAGGAACGGGAGAAGGAGGAGGACGAGAGAGAGAGAGAGAGAGACAGAGAGAGAGAGAGAGAGACAGAGAGAGAGAGAGAGAAGAGACAGAGACAGAGAGATAGAGGGATAACGGAAAAAAGGGTGGGGCACCGAGGTTGAAGGAGGGAGATCAAAGGATGGTCTTGGGCAAACCACCGCGGCTGTGGGCAACGATGTTCAGCGAAGCCTTTCAAAACGATCGGTCTCAAGACAACACAAAAACGACGGGAACGTTCAGAAACCGAGACGCCCCCAAGAGGCCCAAAAGAGGCCCCAAGAGGCCCCAAAACGGCCCCCAAGAGGCCCCCAAACTCGGCTAGCCCACAACGGTGCGACAATATGGGCCGGCGGAATGAGCGAAGCGATTAAATATAGGAAAACATTTGGAATCTGGTGATTTGTGTGTAATCGATTGTGTGTCCCAGGGCTCCTTCATAGAAATTCCTTCAAATAATGGCGAGGCCCGAAAATGGCAACAAGGAGTTATCGTTGAAGTGTCTGTTTGACTTTCCTGTCGTTCCGCCTGCATTCCAAGCTTCAAAAACCAAGGTGCATGGCGCGAAGCGCCAATGCAATATTGTGTATATAGACATATGCATACACAGCTGTATGACTATAGAGATACGTGTGTAACTATAACTGTATATGTATGTATGAATGAATGTATGTATGCATGCATGCATGCATGTATGTATGTATGTCTGCATGCATGTGCGTTATCAGTATTCCTTCCTATTAATCACATTCTCTCTCTCTATCTCTCTCACTATCTCCATTTCTGTTGCCTTTCAGGTATTTGTTCGACCCCAGCCTTCTCGATGGACCCTCTTGTTTGTTTTTGATTGTTGCTCCCTGCCTCTCTCTTTCTCCCTCTCTCTCTGAAGGTCTTGCGGCCGGCGACGGTGGCAGCGACGATGACGGCCGTCCGACCCTGAAGTGGACGATGACGACGACGAAGACGACGACGACGACGACGACGACGACGACGGCGACGACAATGACGACGACAGCGTCTCGCGCACGACGACAGGGTAGGCCCCTTTCTCAGTTTTTGTTGGGTGTTCTCTCTCTCTCTGCCTCTCTCTCTGTCCCCCCCCGTCCCCTCCCCCTCCCTTGGAGTCCCAAAGTGCGTGCCCCACCGGGCGCGACGGCACGACCCTGCGGGATGCGGGCCGGCCCGCAGGTGCGCTTGGCTGGCGGGTGCGGCAGGGCACCGGGCGAGAGCAAGGAGCGCCCGGCGGGCCTCTCTCTCGGGGGGCCCAGGCGGTGGGGTGACCAGACCGCGTAGTGAGCCGGTGGCTTGGCATCGCTCGGACGTGTGCATTTTCTCTCGGCGAGGACCATCGAGGAGCATCCTTGATCATTTGGCGAAGAAGCCACGCACGAAACCGAAAAAAGCACAGGGAATGGACGTCCGAGCGATGGCCAGGTGGGGACCTATCGGCTGCGGCGCCCCCCTCGAGAGGAGTCATCGGGAGCCCCCAGCACGTTTCCGTCGGTCTCTGGGTTTCCCTGCCTCGGGGTGCGCTCCAGTGGCTGCGCCTTGCCGTGCGCGCTCCCGGGGTGCCCAGATCGTCCCGAAGGACCGCCAGAGACCCGAGCCGAGTTCTATGGCCTGGAGAAGATGCATTCGGAGGAGGGCCGTTGTGGTGAGTCCGGCGGGGGTCACGGCACGGTTGGAAGACCCGTGCCGCGCTTCGAGGACTTCTCGGGTGGCCGGGGCCCCCTTGACCCCAGAGCCGTCCGGAGGTGGACCGCCCGGTGAGGTCGTTGGGGATTCCGAGGTCACCACGCGCTCCGTCGCCACAGTGTTTTGCGACCCCTGATTCTCTTCTCTGCGGGGGGGGCCGCGGGCGGACCCTCCAGGTATCCAACGAGATGATCTCATACATTGGCGGTTTTCCTCTCTTTTGGCCCTCGGGGGCCGTGTTCGGGCCTCAGGGCCATCAGAAACTGATCCGAGGCGAAGATTCGGGAGGAAAAAAAGCACACAGACACAATGAATCCTCGATTCCCTAGAAGATATGGGAACATATAGGAAGTGGGCGGGAAGACAGAAACCCAGAACATATGGGAAACTATGGGGAGTATTTTTATTTATGTGTATTTATTTGTGTGTCCTGGGGCCCCTTCGAAGATGTGTACCCCCAGGGAAGCAAGCCAGACCTCTGCGGCCGCGGATGGTAACAACACATGGGCGAGCTTTTCTTTTCTGGGGGGTGCAAGCGTCCCAAGAGGGGATGATGAGGACTACCGCGTGATCTGGGCGCTGTAGTTTTCTCACACTGGACATATTTTCGCCCAGCTTAAACTCCTGAGACCATCGCAGGTCGATCCGGCTGGAAACATGCAGCAAACAGATCGGGTCTAGGGCTCAGGTCGTGATTTCTCGCGATGTGGAATCTGTTTCGCAATGTCGAGGTTCCGGGCACCTCCTCGCCGCGGCGGGGATTTATCCATCACCATCGGTGCGTCGGGTGCCAAACATATCTGCATCCACCGCCTTGGGCTTCGGGCCCAGCGGGCACAGTCTTGTGCCCACGCTGTTAGCACTCACCCGGCTGCCATGGCCCGGCCGCTCCATGCCCACTCCGGTGAGGTCGCCAGGGCTCGGCTCGGGCCGAATCAACAGGGGGGGGGAACAGGGAAAGGAAGGAGGGGGTACGAAATCTGGTGCATGCAGCTGGTTTCGGCCCCGCCGCCTGGCCCATTCCTCGATGCATGGGCGCCTCCGGCGCCGGGGGGCGCCGGGGAAATCAGCTACGCGAGTTGATTCTCAAAGCCCCCCCCTTGGCTATCCCCCCCTTTGGCCCGGCCCGATGGGCGAGGAGCGGTGCGCGCGCGCGGCGCGCTGGGGCTCGCGGCTCCCAGCGGCCGACGACCCGAGATAGCAGGTGCGCCCGAGTGGCGTGAAGGCTGCCCTCGAGAGAGCCCCCTCGCCGGCGCCGTGCCGGAGCGGCCTGCCCCTCGCGGGTTTTGGAAACGCCTCGGCCCCCTCGCAATCGACGTGTTGTATCCGCGGTGCACGAGCAGCGGTCCAGCCAGCCCCATGCGCGGAGGAGGCCATCCAGCTCGATCTCCCTGTGTACATCGACTACTTTCGGGTATAGCCTTGACCCCAGGTAAGGGGACCCGCTTAATAGGAGGGCCCTGGAGCCCCTAAATTTGCCAGGCTCACTAAACCAGGTCTGCCGTAGCTGATGTTTTTCGGGTGACCAGAGGACGTGCAGCACGCCCGTGGGGCGGGCGGGGGGGGCGTCCCCCAGCACACATCACTCAACCAGGTCCCAAATTCATGGTGGTTCTTCCGAAGACGCCCATTCCCGAGAGCGACGGCGGCACCTCGGAGTCTGCGCAGGCCGGCGCCCGGCCGCTGAGCTTGGCGAGCGCAGGCAGCAGACTGTTGGCCAGCGAGGTCTGGCACCAGCTTGAGCCCGTGCTCGCAGAACGCGCCTCAAAAGAGCAACAAGGATCTTTGGGCAGTGCCAATGGGAAGCGGTGGCGGAGGGCAGCTTGCGCGTGGCCGCCAGGGTCTCGGGCTTGTGCGCAGCGCGACTGCACAGCGCGGCGTCTGTTGCGCGCCTGGGGCGCCGAAGCAATTTGTTCGACAGCTCGTTCATCTTGCAGCTGGATGCGGCCCAAGGCTGCTTTCAGCAACGCGCGCTGGGCCCGCGCCAGGTGGCACTGGCAGCAGGCACGTCCGACCCGGCTCACCCGAAGAAAGCGTGTTGCAGCACACGTGATAGCGCATGATTGAGTCTGAAAGGGTCGCGGCCCCTGGCGCGCTTCTTGCGGCATCGGCTGTCGCGCTATATTGGCAGGTCAGTGGAGGAGATGACGGGCCGTGCGTTGACCAGGCGCCCCGCGGTGGCAAGGCGAGTGCCCCCGCGGGCGCTTGCCGCGTGTTTGCGGACGGTCTGGAACGGCTGGGTCACCGCCAGGCGGTTTCAGCAGAGCCTGGGCTGCTACTTCGGGTGCGCGAACGGCGAGGCCTCCGTGGAACATTACAGTGAACCCGCAGAGTAAGGATGAACGACTTCCAAGATTACCCTTGCGTCCTTCCCTTTCGGCCCATTTTTGGCCGCTGCCGCTGGCCGCGCCCCACTCGGAAAGTGTCGACATGGCCTTCCACGGCCTTCGTATCGTTATCGCGCGTCTATCCCCACAGCGAACAGACGGCTCCTGAGCTGCGGCGTCGTTCGCTTCTGACGGCCAGCGCGTGCCTGAGCCACTTCCGGCGCAGACAGGCCGCGGGCCGCAGCCCCGCTGCTAGCGCGAAGGCGCTACAGGTGGCTATCTGGCACTTTGTTAGTATCAGCTTCGCATTTACATCTTTCGCATGCCTAGAGATTGACACCAACACCAATTTCGGCGGTGTGCCTCCACCGGGGGAAGAAGATCCCGATTTCGGCAATGGTGGTAATATTCCGGCTTCCAAGGTGGCCGAACTACTACCACCAACACCGAAAATCCAGGATCACCTTCCCCCTGTGGAAGCAACCCCCTGTCTTGGTCTTGGTGCCAATTTCCAGGCCTCCGAATCTTGTCATCCTCCCCTCCTCCCCTCCCTCCCCGCGCGCTTGGCGGTCCCCCCCCCCCTCCCCCCCCCCCCCGGGCCGCCCCCGGCGCGCGCCCGGCTCGCGGGGGCCGCCCCTCCTCCTCTCCTCCTCCCTCCCCTCCCCCCCCTCCTCCTCCCTCCCCCCCCCCCCCTCTCTCCTCTTTCTCCCCCCCCTCCTCCTCCTCCTCCTCCTCCTCCTCCTCCTCCTCCTCCTCCTCCTCCTCCTCCTCCTCCTCCTCCTCCGCATTTTGGCTGGGCGCAGGGATGCCCCGCGCTATTGTGGGCGACGTCCCCGCCGTTGGTCGCCGAGAGAGAGAGAGAGAGAGAGCGAGGAAAACAAAGAAAACCAGCAAGAGAGAGACAGAGAGAGAGGCAGACAGAAAAGAGAAACAGAGAGAGAGAAGCAGAAAAAATAGAAACTATCAATCGAGAAAGAGGAGAACGGCTAATGATGACAGTTGCTGGTGCGCGTGGAGTCGAAGCTGCGTGTGCGTGGTTTCTTCAGGCTTGGGGTTCGCGTTGGCCACGGCTCCCAGGTCGTATTGTTGCGTTCGGGTCGCCGCCGGCGTCGATCGTCCTCGCTGCTCTCCTGCTGCGTCGTTCTTCGGGCCGTCGCCCGGGGGCCGTCCCTCTCTGCTGCTCGGTTCCCCTTGCCTTTCTCGTTGCCCTCTTCCTCCTCCTCCTCCTCCTCCTCCTCCTCCCTCCTCCTCCTCCTCTCCTCCTCCCTCCTCCTCCTCCTCCTCCCCCTCCTCCTCTCTCCTCCTCCTCCTCCTCCTCCTCCTCCTCCTCCGCCTCCTCCTTCTCCTTGTTTTCGCCCCCTGGCTCTTGGTTCGTTCTGGATCCTGGACGTCGGTTTCCTCATCACCGTCTTGTCGTCTGTGTCGTTCACCTGGGGGGGCCCGAGAGGCTCAGGCTGCGCATGTCCCGCATGTCTTGTGATGGTTTCGGGACGCGTTGCACGTTTCCTGCTCCTCCGCCTCGATCTCCTCCTCGCCTCCCCGCCCGCCCGCCCGCGTCCTCGAAATCGTTTTCAAACTTGGGCTGTTGCCGAGTGTCTCTTCCCGGATCAGTCTCAGATCGGTCTTGGGGGTCCGGGGATCACCATGAGCATACCTCGTTGGTGCGCTTGGGGTGCGTTTGGTGGCCACATGTGTCAGCGAATTAGCGCCGATTGCAGGCCTTGGCCAGCTCGTGCGTCGTTCCGGTACAGGAACCTTGAAGGTTTTTGTTTGTCTTGCGCCCTCTCATCTCGTTCCTCTGTGCTTCCTCTTCCTTCTCTTTTGCCCCACTTCGCTGAGCGCCAGTGCGAATCACGACGTCTCCACCGTTGAAGGTCACGCATGCGCGAGCTTCCCTTGGCATGGTGCAGCAGTACGTATCCAGGCCCACGGGCCGCCGTGCGGGCGTAGAAATCTGCAGCCCGGCTAGGCTGTTCCGGCGTGGCGCATTCCAGCATGCGCGTGGTTCGGGGGCCCCCAAACGGTGTGGTGACCATACCGTGCGGTGAGTCGGTCGGGGTTCGGGGTCACCGCACGTTTTTGGGACTCGGGTCGTTCTGCGAGGATGTCTCGGGCGGCAGGGGCCTCTGGAGTCCCAAACAGTGCGTCGACAGACCGTGCGGTGAGGTCTTGCGGGATTTCGAAGTCACTGCACGGTCTGTCACCACACCGTTTCAGGACTTCAAAGTGGTGCCTCTTACCACAGAGCGCGCGCTCCTGCCTGGGTTTTGGCACCGCGCTGAGAAGAGACTTCAGAGACTAAGGTCCCAGATGGTCGACCTTCTCGGGGGGGGGATGGACCAATCCCCGCCTCGCCTCTTGCTGCGCGCGGCGCGGGCGGATATGACACCCCATGTGTCCCACGATACCCGCAGCTTCTTAGGTGTCGGCCCTCGGTGGCCGCTCTCGGGTTCCTTGACCATCAAAAGCGTATCCGGGCGGGCATGTACCCAGACACGCTTTCACTGGGCTTGGGGGTCCCTGATCGGGCCCGCCCTCAACCCCTATGATAACCTGACTTTGTCGGTTGGGAAGGTCCGACAGGGGTATGCAGTATCGATGCGCGCCGGCATGCGGCATGCGTTGGACTTCCCAAAGCGGAACAGTTGCCAGGTTTGTTACGCGCAGACAGGCCCCGTCCCCCGCTGGATGTCCCAGGTCCTCAAAATAGCGCCAAACAGCGAAACACTACCTCCAGCCCCCAGGGAAGCGGGCGGGAACTCTTGGGCCGCGGGGCGAAAACAAAACACATCGGTGGTTGCCGGCTTCGGCTGCCTCGGTCGGGAACACCAACAGGTTTGGAGCCGCCTTGGGTGGCCCAGCATGGGTTCCGGCGAGCAGGAAGCGGGGCGAGAGTCGAGGTTTTGGAGTGGAGAAGTTGGATCCAGGGGCAGTTTTGGGGGCCTCGTGGCCGTCGAAAGCGTATCCGGGGTGAACAATTGCACTAGATGGACCTTATTTTGAGCGGGTTTACCTTTACCCCCTCTTCTTGACCGACTTTTCTGGCGCCCGTCCAGTTCAGACACCCTGGCCGCCTCTGACAGCAGATCACCTGTGAAGGCGGTTTAGTCGCCCCCGCTCCCCGAATCTCCCATCCCCCCAGTAGTGAGGGCGATGAGAGAGGACGGGGGCGTCGGGGATCCATCCCAAGGCGGCTATTCGGACGCAGCCCTGTCAAGAGTGGGCGCCCCCCGCCTCATCGGAGTGAAGGGCAGCTGGTTTCCGTTCACGCGAGCCCACTTCATGTCGCACACGTGTTGGTTGCTTCGGGGCAGGCCAGCTTCTTTGCGTTCATCTTCTTCGTCCGGCCAGGGGGCGGGATCGGCGGGGTTCGGTTGGGATGGGGGGGGAGGTTCGAAGATCCAGTATCGAGGAGTGGGGGACAGTATCGAGGGTTGAGCGGGGGGATTAGGGATCGGGGGGGGGGCGTCCTGAGTCATGGGGCATGGGGGGCCCCACTGGGGGGGAGGGAGGGAGCGGGGCCCTGCCGGAGGGTGGAGGCCTTCGGGGCCTTGTTGTGAAGAGGGAGGCAGGGGGCACGGCGCCGTCGAGGGTTGTGGGGGTGCAGGGGGGGGGCGGGGTCGGGCGGGGGAGCAGGGCCCGTCGACGTGTGGGCCAGCGATGACATTTTGACTGGGTTGCGCAGAATCGCATGCATAAGTAAGTCGCCATGCATCGTTTTCCTGTTGTTTTGATTCCGTATGTCTTATGGCGCCCAGCCTTTATCAGCAAATCACGGTATGTGACAGAAAATACGTAGATGATTGAGAAAGTGTCCGTTCATGCAGCCGAAAACGTAGTGTGACCCTGAGTGGCACCGAAATTGAACATCGTCTTGGTTTCGAGCCAAAAGTGTTGGTCACACTCTGGCGCAGTCGGGAAACTTGGGGCGTCAGTTTTGGTCACATTCGAGCAGGTCTATGGGCACAGTTTCTGCCCGTGCATTTTCCTGATAGAGACGAGGCTACGTGATATTTCATAATTATTCTGACTATGCGAAACAAATGTGTCAGCGGTTTGCTTTGATAGTCATTGATTGCGTTGGATACGCAGGATTTAAAGGCCTGCGGCAGGCTGTGCGCATGAGTCCCAAATCGGTTAGGAAGCAATTGTAAACAGTGTCGAAGTTGCCGACATGTTCTCATCCTCCAAGTTGCCATTGCGAATCCTCTTTTTCCCCGTCTTCCGTTTTGTGTGGGCTCATGGTTGTTACGGACCATGGTTGTTGTTCGCGGACCACGGTTGTTGCGGCCTCCCATACCCTGCTTCAAGCACACGTTTGGAGGATCAGGTCGATTCTGGAGCTCCCACGTTGGTGTGTTTTCCAACGTGTGAATGGAACACAGGGGGTCCACGTGCATGTGCCTCTTTGTATTCCTTATTTTTTCGGGCTTCGAGCTGGCCCGCGTCTTAACCAGGATTGTTCAAATTGTCAACTCAGTGGTAGGGGCGCCACGTGGGCGCGCTGCCAGGTCAAACGAGCGAGACGTGCTTCTTGTGTGATTTCCTTGACTGGCATGCTGTGCATGTTTCCCGGTGATGATTTTCACGCTGCGCCCAGATCCATATCCGAAGTGTTTCTCATTGCCGACGTAGCGCTCGGCCCCCACATGCTTTCCATCCCTCTGGGCAATGCTAACCAAAACTTCACACGCACGACATGGGTCGCGCATGCTGTATAATTTCGCCCCCAATGCCCACCGCACCGCCATCTTGGCCATGAAGGGTGCATACGGGCTTCGAGCCGGCAGCACCGGACGGCAGTGGCCATGGATGCCAGGATGTGTCTACAACGACGCGAAGATCGGGACAAAATCGGATCGGGATAACTCGAAATCTCTGAGAATCGGCGGGTTTGGAGGGTGTATTGGGCGCCGCGGCCGCTCCAGAGCGTTCCGGAACGCTCTGAGAGCGCTCCGGAACGCTCTGGAGCGATTTATCCCGATCCTAGCCCTGTTTTATACCGAAAGGTGAGCGACGCAGGAACATTGCGTCGTTTTTCCCACGTTCGTGCGTGACCTACCCGCGTAAGGTCGCGCGTAAGCGCCTTCGTTTCCACTGCAGCGTGCCGCGCTGGCGGACCGCGTAACCTGCGGCGTAGGGTCGCTACGTCGTCTCGCGTAAGACCCGTCTTTGCGTGGCAGAGTTGAGAAGGACGGGACGCCAGGAAACGAGCAGAGGGAGGAATTCGGCAGCACGTCGTGGAGGATTCGGCGGCCCGCCTGCGAGGATCTCACCACGCGGCCCGTGTGCTTGGACAGCCCCGCTCCGCACGCGAGCCCCCTCATGTTTGTTTTCTAGTGACGGGCAACCGGCCATCTCTCGATCTAGGAATGAGTTGCAGATGCATCCGTGGGCATCATGCTTGGCATCTTCAGGTACTTAGCAGAACAAGCAACGGCATACACATAATCTGTCGGAGTTGCATGCGGATTCGTTGGATCTGCGCTAGGCCCCCATGGCGGCGCTGGTCCAGGGATGGGGTCTTTAGCGCAGATACAAGAACTCCGCGCGGACCGTAGATGTTGAATGGTAATGAAGTTGTGGTTTCTAGTGTAGCATTCACTTCACGTGTGTGAGCGATGTTCGTCTGGCCTTCGACCGCGCTTGCGCTCGCCTTCGCCGTTGACCCAAAGTGTGTGTGACGTTCGCGGAAATTTGCGTGTGTGAAGGTCCACAGCAGTTCAATCCCGACATTTTTCAGCGCCACCCTCCTCTTCCCCTCTCGCGACCCCCCTCCACATCTGCAGTGCAAACGGAGTTGTTGGCAAGAATGCTGCTTCATTCCCCGACGCCGCTGATTGTCGGGTGGGCCCGAATCCGGATCAAGTCCGGAGCGCTTGGTGCGCGCGATTGACTTTGCACGCGCCGCCGACCCCTCGAGCACAAGTGGGCGCTGCCGGCCTCTGACGGAGGCAGCCTGCCTCCGTGTACGCTCGCGAGGACGGCCGGCCTTCTCGGCGGCCGACGCACGGGTCTGCACGAACGAAATGGGTACCGAAAGAATGGGTACAATGCCCAACAGCAGTTCCTGTTCATTTTGAACAGGACTCGCTGTCCGCGCCGCCACAGCCCGTGTCCATTCGAGACAGGTGGCCGCCTGCCCAACAGCGGCCGCTGTTGGTTTGGGGCAACATTTGTTGTTTAGCATTGTACCGGTTCTTTCCGTACCCATTTCGGGCATCCAAAACGGGCGACGAACGCGCGACGCACCCTTTGTCGCGAAGGGGGGGTCAGCACGCCGGTCGTGTTATTGGGCTTCAACAGAAGCAGGTGATGGTACCGCACCGCCAATGAGGGGGGCGGGAAGGGAAGGCCCGCTGTCCAGCAAGCGGTCGGTGTGGCCTGGGAAAGCGAGCGCCAGCATGACGCTTCATCACGCCTTCACAAATGTCAGTGCAATGTTGATGGCGCTTCGCCGCAGTGCATCTGAGCGCGCAGCGTGTAAGTAAGCGACCAAAGAGCTGTCAACATACATGGGATGGGCGCAAAGCGCTCGACAGCTCCGCGCTGCGCCAGTCACAGGAAAGTGGTCCATCCCGCGAATTTGCTGATAATCTAAAAACAAAATAGCCGATGCGCCAGTTCGGCTGGAACAGGAACAGAAGGCAGCTGTCAATCCTTCACCGTCCGAAGTAATATCACATCGTTTTGCAGGATCTGCTGCTAGGCAATAGGCGTTCGCAGTTGCGCGCCACAAGCAGACAGACAGGACACGCATGAATATACACTGCTACTCGAAGTGATTAACGGCCGTGTTTTCGCCCCCACTCTGGCCATCATAGAAGCAGTTGTACGTGAGAGATGCCTGAACAGACTCGGAAGCCTGAATGATCAGGGCGAGCTCTGCATCGATGGACACCAACACGCATAATAAGTGGGACGCATGCCTTGGCTCGTGCACGAGAGAGGGCGAGTGCTAGGCGAGGCACGGTGAGCAGGGGAGGAGGTTCCTGGGGCCATCCTGGTGGTTTCTTGGGGCCATCGTGACCATCACGAGGCATTGGCAAGGTTGCCCAAGGGGGCGACGAGCGAACGAAAGAGCGACGACGAAACTTCAGGATTCCCAGCTCTAGAAAACAGCTGTGCAAGAGAATTTGGTACCGTCCGTTGTGGAATGCGGGGCCGTTGCCGCGATTCTTATGCTAAACGTTCATGGAGAAGACCGTTGAGGAGGCCGCGGTCGGGTCAGCCGCTGACGTCTCAGGCATGGACGTCGCTGGTGATTCATCATTCCAGGTAGGATGTTGAACATGGCTGCGGCCAATTTCCACCGCATGGATTTCCACTCCGGGAACTAATTCCTCTCTGTCGGTGCCCTGTCGACATGCGTGAAAATGTGCCCAGTCACCCCATGGCGAAGCCAGTCGCGACATGGCCCTCGTACTGCTCTCGTCCGCAGATGCCGATGCGCACGGACCTCCGAAAGTTTGTGTTGATGAAGATGCATCTTCTTCTGGACAAGGGCGAGGAGGGCGAGGGCAGGGACGACGTGGACGAGGGGGCACAGCACGGCTCGGCACTCGGGCGGCAAGTGTTTCCAGCATCCTGAACGTTAAACCTGCATGTCCTCAGAGGATTGGGGCCCCTTCCATCGTTAGCTGTTTAGGGGTAGTGTGTTAAAGGGGTGGGTGAGCCGAGGAGGTTCCATCACACGGAGCGCTTTCATGTTTACTGGAAGTTTCTGTGGGGGCCGGAGCGCACCGGCACGAAAAGGGCTCGGGCGGAACAGCATGCGTTTGTATGCCGGTTGATATGCTGGCTTCGGCGCTAGGAGACGTGATCTCCAGTCTGAAGAGCAGGAGGACGAGGAGGAGGAGGATGAGGAGGAAGCGAGCGACATATATTTCCGGCGCCGTGTTTTTTCACAACGTGGATCCGCGGAAGTTTGGACTCTTTCTTTGGGCCTGGTTGCTCGTCCTGAGGCGCTTTTTGGCGGTCGCGGGGCCCGGCGAGGGCCCATGGAGGCCGAACATTTGAGAAAACAGTTGATCGTGTCACCCGTTTGCTCGAGATGCGGAGGCAGGGAATCGACCCGAGCACCAAAGCCTCCTTTGAGCGCAGGGTTCCTCATCTGGCGAGAGAGGATGGCTGCGCACTCAGGTTGAGTGTTTTTCTCAGCTAAGCTTCTGCGCTGCCTGTGCGAAGCGGAGGCTTGGCCGAACTGGAATTGGAACTGGAACAGGAGGAGGAGGACGAGGAGGAGGAGGAGGAAGGACGGGGAGGAGGTGGACCAGTGCAAACCGAAGACTCATCAACGAACTTGCAGCAAACCCTTCCTCCCAAGTCCCTTCTTCATAGGTCCATACAAGGATTCTTTTCCACTGAGGGAAGGTCCCCGTTGAAAGACAGCCGTCTGAAAGTCTCGAAACGTGCCAGACCACAAGTCCTGAGACTTTAACGCTGGAAATCAGCGTCACTCATGCGTCCTGACGATCCTTCCTCGTGCCAGAACACCAGTTCTGAGATTTTCACACGTCGAATAAATGTGACTCTTTGGCTTGTGAGTCCGACATCGTGCCAAAGACAATTTTGGGTTGTCGACCATCCGACAACCTCAAAAGGGACGAGCATGCGCGGCGCTACAGCGCGAGCCACAGTTTGAGAGCGGCCCGTCACCCGTCCGTGAAACTTTTGCAGCCTTGAAAGACGAATGCGTGCGGCACGAGGGCGGGAGCCGCACTTTGCAGACGGCCTGCCTTCCATCCGTTAGTCTCTCTGCGAAGGTGCAAGACGAGTGTGCGCGGCGCTGCAGCGAGCCCCTGCACACCTCGAGACGAGCGTGCGCGGCGTGACGCGGGGGCGTTCCAAACGCCCCGGCCCGGGTCTGCGGGGCGCTCTGCGCTTCGGGGGTGGACAGACCTCCTACCCTGACACGTCGAGTAGTGAACTGTCCGTTTTCGGTTCTTCAGGGGGCGCCGCGGCCGTCATTTTCCAGGCTTGCGCCCGCCAGGTTTGGGCCCGAGGTCGTTTTCACTAAACCACGTGTTACTAAAGCGGGGTCTGTCCATCCCCGAGCGCTGAACCTGTGGGCTAACAGGGCAAGCCCGGCATATCGCGCGCGTCGCGCGGCGTCCTGGCGGCTCTTCTGGCCCTTGGGAGTTCCCAGGGGGTTTTGCGGACCACGCACTTGTAACCCAGGCGCGGCGTGAAGGCGAGAGCCACATTTTGAAAAAAGCACCTTCCCGAGGCGGGAATATATACCTGTCCACCGCCTGGAGGGTCCGTTTTCGGAGCCCCGGCAGGCGGTGGACACGGACATATTCGGGCCCCCAAGAGCCGAACTACATCCATATCCGCCGCCCGCTGGGGCACGAGGGCGTCAGTTCCCGGGCGGTGGATATGAATACATCCCTGCCTCGCACACCTGCCCTCCATCCGTGCATTTGTTGTTCTTCAAATCTACGCTTAGGGCCATCTATCATATGGTGAGGCAGTCTCGGGTGCAACGCCCGTCCCCCCTGCCGACACGTTTCGGGGGAGGTACTTATAAGGCAAAGGGATGAAGGGCGAGGATGAGGAGGAGGACGATGAGGAGGACGAGGAGGAGAAGAAGGACGAGGACGGGGAGGAGGAGGAGAAGGACGACGAGGAGGATGAGGACGAGGACGAGGAGTAAGTGAACGAGGAGGGGGGGATTCTCGGTGCCCGACGCGCCTCCCTGCACCCAGGGAAGGAAGGCGCCGCGCCGGCCCCCCCACCAAGGAGCAAGCGCTCGCGGAGGCGGAGGCTCTCTCGAGTGCCGCGCGCCACCAGGAGGACCGCTGGCCCCGACGAAGAAAATAGTCATCGGAGGCCTAGAGCTTGGCACCAGCGCCAATGTGGGCGCTGTGCCTCCACCGAGGGAAGACGATCCCGATCTCAGCGATGAAGGTAATGCTCATGTCTCTTAGGTGGCCGAAGTATGACCACCCTCGCTAAAATCTAGAGTCATCTCCCCCTGGTGGAGGCAACCCCCTGTGTTGGCGTTATTGCCTTTTCCAGTCTTCATAAGTCAGGAGGGAAAGAAACACACAGACACAGTTAATCGTCGACCCCCAGGAAAATATGGGAAGTTGGGGGGAAGACGCAGAACATATGGGAAAATGTTGGGAATGTTGTTGTTTGGGTCTATTTATTTGTGTGTCCCAGGGCCCCTTCAATAAGAAGAAGATGGAGCAGAAGGAGTCTGCATAAGCCAGGTCAACCGCAGGGGCGCGCAGAGACTCGCGCCTCGCGCGTTTCCGGCCTTGGCCTGGGCGGGTGCCTCTCTCGGAGGGGGCGGCGCGGGGACGCGAAGGTACCAGCGCGCCGCGCACCGCGGGGCGCGGCGCCCGAAGTGCGGTGATTCGGAAACAGTATGAGCACGTGATGTCTGCTTGGCATCGCTCGGCCGTGTGCACGTTTTCTCGGCGGAGAACATCGGGGAGCATCTTGGATCATCTTGCGGGGAAAGTGCTCACGAAACCGACGAATGCGCAAGGAAAGGACGTCCGAACGATGGCAAGCTGGAGGTCCGTGCGGATCCCCCTGGATCGGCGCGGGTCCCTCCTTGGATCGGCGCCTCCAGCGCGGCCCCTGGCCACGGGGGCCCAGCGCCGATCCGAGGGCTCCACGCAGCGCGTGCTCGTGCCGGGTTTCCAGACTCGTCGGCGACATTTCCACTAATTCTCAACAGTCTTCCAGCGTCGGCATGCGCGCTAGCAGTTGCGCCTCGCCGAGGGCGTTCCGGGGATGCTGGAATCGTCCCGAACGGCCGCCGGGGAGTCTAGTTATGGAACGTTTGTCGGGAGACGCACCGACCCGGAATCACCCATTCATCGCCGACAGGGGGCCCGATAGGCCGCCCCGCCCGGGAGGGTGCGGTTTCGCTATCGGGGGGCCGTCGCCGATCTGTCGGCGATGCATGGCCGATTCCAGGGCAGTGTTTTTCCTCCCGCTGAGCTGATCCCCCTCTGATGTTGCCCCTCACTCGACGACGAAGACCGACGACGACCACCACCCTTCCTCCTTCAGGCGGGGCGCGCGGCGAAGACGGCGCCGACGGCGAGGACGGCTGGTGACGGCGACGACCACCGCCACCAACGAAGACCAGGACGCCGCCACCGAGGGCCGCCGAGGCCGAGAGGGTGGGCCTCGGCGGCCTTCGGCGGCCGTCGTGGTCGGTCGTTGTCCTCCTCCTCCTCGTTGTCGTCGGTGCGGCTCGCGGATCGGATAGGGCGTTTCCTGACAGTTACGTTGCCGGGCCGCTGAGTGTGAGGTGGAGGACGATGAGGAGGGACGTGGGTTTAGGCCCCCAGCCCCTCGCTTTCGTCGTCGTCGTCCTCGGCGCCATAGACGCTGTTGCCGCGCGTGCGTCAGCGGGGGGAGTGGCCTTCGTCTTTGAGGCCTTGTCAGGGTCGAGGCTGTATTGTCGAGGGCGTCGAGGTATTTTGACATTTTCGACCCTGTTCGAGCGTAGTCTCTCGGGAACCTCTGGACGGCGTCCTTCGTCGTCCTTGTCGTTCTCGTTGTAGTGTCGCCAGCGTCGGACGATATTCTCGCCGAGCACTTACCGCTCACGCGCTTGTCCCATGAGTTCTACAGCACGCGGCCGATAGCACAGGGTGTGCGCTTTGGTTCCGAAAGGGGGACGACGACAGTGGGTGGTTGGAAGGAATTGCCCCCCCCTCCCCCCTCTGACATGTTTTTCCCAGTGGCAGGATGCACTGTTACCCAGATCAGTGCCCGAGTAGCGCTAAGCGAAAGAAGCCCCCCAGGGCCGCTTTCGACTCGACCCGGCCCGATACAATTCGATTCGCCAGCCGGGGCCGCGATTCCGATTCCGGCTCGATTTGGTTCGATTCGATTCGCCAGCATCAGCCAAGGCCAGTTGGAGTCCATGCGCGGCGATCCTATGGCGACCGGATTCGGGACGACCCGTTGGCGACCCCTTTCGTTCCCGATCAGATCCGACCTCGTGATTCGGGCTTGCTCAGGCGTGCCTCCCTGGGCAAAGGCGCCGATGTGCTTTTTGTCAATCCCCGGAGGTACCGAGCGTCTCCCTGGGGGCAGTTTTTTCGCCCAGGAGCCACTTCCGGGGGGTCCCGGGGCCCGAGGAGAGGCCCCCGAGGGGCCGAGGTCGAGATAAGACCGCCGGACAAACCAATCACATCGTCGGAGATCTGGGCCCGCGGCCCCACCGGGCCGCCCAGCACCCCGCCCAGGGTCCTTGTCGATCCGATCGGTCCGATTCGAGGTCGGTGTCGAGAAGTTCGGTGCGATTCGGTCTCGATCTCCAGGCGTTCCGATGCGGCTGGACGCCTGCACGGCGGTGTTGTGCGTCCTGGCGCGGTGGGATTCCGTGCCGAGGCGGCCCGATCTGACGCACGTTTCGATCCGATTTCCCCCCCTCGCGCCGGCGGAGAAAGGAGTGGGTCGTCGGCCTCCGCGTGGCCTTCCAGGACGCCAGGCTCCTCCCATGGGGCGTGCGGGGGCTTCGCAGGGGCTCCAGGCATGCGGCACTTCGCCTGGTCGGCCAAGCAGCCAGTGAGTTCCGCGAAGGAGTATGTGTATAGATTGACGCTTCAGCGTCTCGCAGGGTTGGCAGATGGGGCGTCTATCTTCGGGGGAGAAAAAGATACGGATACGTGTTGTCCCCCTTTGTTTTCGGCCTTTCCTGGTCCTCCTGGGGAATCCTCGTTGTCACCGCTGGATTCGCCTCGAAATTCTGGTCAGAACGCACCCCAAGAGAGGTCCGGGGACAACACGTATCCGTATCTTTCCGCCCCCCAATATCTAGCTGCCTGCGGCAAGTCCCGCCACCAGCCCAGCATCTTGGGTGGCGACTGCTGGAGGGGGCACGAGGCGCCGTCACGCGTGACACCTCGTGTCTCCAGGGTGGGCAGCTGGGGCGTCTACACACCGAGGTCCTTGGCCGACCAAACGACGTGGTGTATACATCGAGCCTCTTCAAGTGTGCGGGGGCTGGAATTTTCCTTCCGCCGAACGACGCGCTCGCGCGGAGGGGGCGTTCCGGCATGGGCCGCCGTGGAGGAGAGGGGTCCTGGAGTGAAGAATGTCGATCGCTAGTCGAGGAGGAGTATCGATCGAGTTTCGATCGGTCCAGGCGCTGCAATTGTTTGACACTGGTCGTTCTCGCCCAGTTTCGGGCGCTGGGGCTATCACAGTTTGGCGGTGACGAGAGTCCAGGCACGTCACGCCCCGTCGATGGGTGTGGCTTCGCTCGCTGAAACACAGCGCGCCAGGAGAGGGTGGGCGGGGAGAACGCAAAGGGCAGCGGGCCCGCCCGTCCTGCACACACCGCGGTCGCCTGCGCGGCGCCGCGGCGCGCGCCCGCCTGCGCAGCGGAGGCGCGCGCCGCCTCCGTTGTAGAGTCCGCTGCCGTGGGACTCCCGCGGACCACTGTCTTGGCCATTTCTGATGATGACTCTGTCTCTTTCTCTCTCCTTCCCTCTTTCTCTCCTTCTCCCCCCCTCTTTCTCTCTCTCTCTCTCTCTCTCTCTCTCTCTCTCCCCCGCTCTCTTTCTTTCTCGCTCTCCTTCTCTCTCTCTCTTTCTCTCTCCCGCTCTCTCCCTCTCTCTCTCTCTCTCTCCCTCTCTCTCTCTATCCCTCTCTCTCTCTCTCTCGCTGTTCCCCCTGGGCCCTGAGCCCTAGACTTCGAGAATTTGGACCCTGAGGTTTTGGCATTCGGCCGTTGGTGTTGAGGTGCATAACACACTTGATGTATCTTAGTGCGCTGATGTAGGGCAGAGCAGAGTAGCATGTAGGTTAGAGCAGAGTAGCACAGCAGGGAGGTAGCATAGCGAGACATGTTGCATTCCGCAGCCATCTGGTCCTAACAGGAAAAATATTCGTCATGGTAGCGTGAGCGGTTCATGCCTACGCACCGTGGCCGGCGGGATCCAGATACCCAACGCTGGCGGGAGGTGCGCGGCCAAGCTGACCGCGCAGGCCTCCCGCGACCGCCGCCTCCCCCGAGAGAGCGGCCAGGCCACGGTGCGGGCAGCTCCGCCTGTGGTGGGAAGAAGGGGCCGGCCTGGAAGGACCGGGTCCCTTGGCGCGCGGGCAGACCCGCCGCCAAAGCCGGCCCTGCCGGCAAGCGTGGCCGCGCGGGTAGCCCCGCCGCCACCGAGAGGCAGCCACCGGAGCGCTGCCGCCTCAGGAGCGCACCGCGGACGACGGAGCTCCAAGAGCGCTTCACCAAGCTGAGAGGAGATGTAGGATCTCCAAGAGCAGGTACGAGCTCTGACAGCTCAGACGAGACAGCTGACGGAGCAGCTAACGCAGCAGCAGCAGCTGGTGCAGCAACAACAGCAGCAGCTGCAGCAACAAGCGCAGCAGCAAGCTCCAGCACAACAACAGGCAGTGCCACAGCAGCTCCTGGACTTCCTGGCGCAGCAACAGCAGCAACTCCAGCAGCAGCAGACCCAAGCGCAGCAGCAACTAGCGCAGCAACAGCAGCGGGCGGACGAGGCCATGCAGAGGATGATGGCCGCGTTCGAGGGCCTCGGTACCCGGTCGACATCGACGACGACGACCTCTGAGAGGCCGTGTCTCGTCGACACGAAAGGGATCGGGAAACCACAGCCGCTGCGCGGCGACAACTGGCCTTCCTTCTGCTTCAAGTACATGAATTTCATATCCAGCATGTACCCGACTGCGCGAGACTTCCACGAGTGGGCGCAGAGCCACGAGGACACGATCCGAGGCATCGAGGAGGCGAAGCAGATCGACCCCGACGCAGAGCGCATCCAGAACCAGCTGTACACCGTGCTGGCGCAGCTGGTAGAGGGCGAGTCCGAAGAGATCGTGCGCAACTGCGAAAGCCACAAGTACCGCGGCTTCGCGAGCTGGAGGAGGTTGGTCCGGCGCTGGGACCCCATGAACTTGGGGCGCAAGAGGTCCATCCTCATGCGGGTTCTGAACCAGCCAGAGCAGAAGTTGGAGAACCTCAGCAGCGCCATCGAAGCATGGACGCAGGATATCACCCGATACCAGCAGAGGGCCAAGAAGACGATTGACGACGATATCAAGACAGCCGTATTGATTTCCACGTGCCCGAACCCACTGGAGCAGCACTTGCAGTTGAACCAAAACCGGTTTGACTTCTACGACGACGTCGTGGAAGAGGTCACCCAGTACTTGGAGACTCGCCGGGCCGGCCAGCTCGACAAGCCAGTGCCGATGGACATCGGCAGCCTACAGAAGGGCGCCGGCAAAGGCAAGAGCAAAGGTAAGGGCAAGGACGCGGGCAAGGCGTCTGGCGGCAAGGGCAAGCAGCCTTTCCAGGGCTACTGCAACAAGTGCTGGGAGTGGGGCCACATGGGCAAGGACTGCACGAGCGGCAAAGGCCGCGACGCCGACAGCAAGCCATGCGGCGTGTGTGGCAAGAAGGGGCACGCGAGCAAGGACTGCTGGCACGCGAACACGGGCAAGGCCAGCAAGGGCGCGCCGAAAGGCAGCAAGGGCGGCAAGACGAAGAAGGGCGGCAAGAAGGGGCTTCACGGCATGGAGACGTCTGGGGACTACGAGGACCAGCCGGAGCCGGAAGTGGGGGGCCTCGAGTTCTGCGCGGTGGAGAGGGCCGAGCAGGGCACTGGGCTGTTCGACGACATCTTCCGGACGGCGCTCGAGAGCCTGGACAGAGTCTTCCGCGGAGTGGGAGACTCCGCCCCCGAGCCCCCGGCAGTCTGCGCGGGTAGACCCGCCGACGTGCCAGAGCCGACTGAGAAACGCCCGCCGAAAAAGCGCCCGCCGAAGAAGGCCAGAGAGAGGCAGAAGAGGAGGCAGTTGTGCGGAGCAGGAGCAGCAGGAGGAGCAGCAGGAGGATGCAGGTGCTGCGAGCAGGAGGAGCACGAGGAGGAGGAACAGGAGGAGGAATGCAACATCCCAGGCGCACCAGTCAAGGAGGAAGGATTGGAGGTGTTGGGTCTTTACTCACCGAAGTATGACCAGGAGTATGAGGTGATAGAAGCAGCCGTGGACAGCGGCGCCGGAGTCACCATCATGCCAGAAGAGATGCGCAGCGACAACCCTATCGACCCCGACGGGAGCGGCATCGAGTACAACGCAGCAGGGGGCCAGACGGTCACCGACAAGGGCCAGGGGAAGTTGCAGGTCGTGACAGAGAAGTGGCAGCAACGGTCCATGAAGAGCCGCGTCGGGCCGGTCCGCCGCATGCTGCTTGCTGCCAGTGATCTCGTGGACCACGGGAACCGGGTTGTTCTCCAGAAGAGCGGTAGTTACGTGGGGCACATCGGCACGACGCAGAGGACACCTCTCAATCGCGCCAACGGGATGTTCCTCATGAAGTTGTGGGTGAAGAGAAACAGTGCGCCTAAACAGCAAGGCGCCGAGGCCGCAACGAACCCGATGGAGACAGACCAGATGATCGCAGCGCTCCAGAAGCTAAAAACCACCGGGGGCACGCAGGCGCCCGCGGGGAGCGTGGTCGAGTCGAAGGTCGCTGAATCCATGGGTTTCTCCCGGCAGGTCCAGCCGCAAGACCGTCGGAGGCCAAAGTTTCACCGCCAAGAGGGCAGCTAGCCCCTAATACCACTTGTTCTTGCACTGTTTCACATGTTTCTCCGACTGAAGTAGTGCCACTGGGTGCGGGTAGCACCGCCCGTGGCTCGGGCCCTGTGGCCCATGCAAACAGCAGTGGCCCCAACCAAGGGCCAGCGGCGAGAGGCGCGGGAAGCTCCGCCCTCGAGGAGAGCGCCGGCAGCGGCGCCCAAGACAGCAGGGGCGACCCCATGGGTCCACCCAGGGATCCGCCTGCACAGGCCCCTCCGGGAGCAGAGGTCCCGGTGGAGGAGGAGCTCAGTTGTAAAATCTGCACTCCAATGAGGTCGCCTTGCGACCAGACACCGAAAGGGGTGGAGGAGCACGAAGCGTCGCAACACTTGCCGTTTCGGTCTTGGTGCCCAGACTGCGCGAAGGGGCGCGGGGCAGCGACGGCCCACGCAGACCTCGCAGCAGATTTAGAGCACGCGACGCCGACGATCTCCACTGACTACTTCTTCTTGGGTGGTTCTGACCAGCAGGCGCTCGCATGCCTGGCGAAAGTGGACCACAAAACCCGCCTAAAGACTGCGCGGGCGGTTCCCCAGAGAAGGTTCCATGAGGCTGTAATCAAGCAGGAAGCCCGTGATATCAAGAACTGGGGAAGGACGAAGTTCATATATAAGTCAGACCAAGAGAGCCCAATAACCGCAATGAAGGACGGTGTGATCGCCCAGCTGGGGACAGACTTCGAGGTCATCCCAGAACCTTCTAAGGTTGGAGAGTCACCGAGCAATGGCACGATCGAAAGAGCCATACAAGCCATCTCTGGGACGGTCAGAACCCTGAAGGTGGCGACAGAGAGAGCGTTCAAGATCACTCTTGATCCCCGGTCGAACATTCTGCACTGGCTGGTGCAGTTCGCTGGTTTCTCGTTGTCCAGGT